CGCTCGAGGTTTTCACGGGACGCATCGATACTTCCCATGCGTTGCGAACAGACCCGGCAAACTTGACACGATCAGCTGATCGATGCGGATGGATATTAAGAAAGAAAGATAGCAAAGATCACGATAGTACGGCAAACGGGTTCGAAGAAAACGCAGGCAGCAGCAGGTAGACTAGCTAGAGAAAGAGGTTGTGCCATCGAAGGTTAACAATGCCACGTTCCGTAGCCACGGCTACAATGGCATCTTTCGCATCACTCACATTGCGAGCCATTGTACCGGGAAACCATTGTTTCTCGTCCCATTGCGCGCATCGGTGGCCCAGAGGCGACCGAGGGGTACGGGGCTTGGAAAAACCGGGGTGCTGGAAGCTGGAAATACGAACGGGACATAGTCGCGTACCAACGGTCCCGTGTTCTAGACAAAAGAGTTACGTCAGGCCCATTCACCCAAAACGCCTTTGTGCGTCCGGATATTCTTATTCCAATGCCAACACAAGAGAAACGGAACAGCGGAGACAGTGGCAGAGGAAAGGATCGGTACACACACCGGCACTCGGTCAAGTCACCGGTGTCGTGTGCCATTTTAAAGCCTCCCAGAGATTTTTCCTCTCTTCTCTCTATCCACCACGGCAATGTATGCAAATCGCGGACGTGTATGTACGCGCGAGAACATCTCCCCTCGTATTCGATCAGTACGAAATACATTTTCAAAAATATACGCTCGCACCGTGTAACCAACCCCTCCTATCGTTTTGTTACATCCGGGGATTTTTCCCGTTTTTTATTAAAAGAAAAAAGAATTGTGTACATACATATCGAGCTCGCGGGATTTTCGAATTTTGTTTCCGAGATAAGCTTCGAATAAATATACACTGGCGTTTCCCCGGCTCCGTGGATTCAACGATACTGTCAACTTTATTGTAGAAATCGGGTTTCAAGTTATTAAAAATTTATAGAAATTCGAAAATGTGAAAAGATAATATTTCCACGGTATTCAATGTTGAACTATCTTAAAATTTCAACAATCGTTACCCTCGATTCGATTCGTCGCACCAATTCTTACGTACTGGATGCAAAACACGGCGCAACAAAGGGTAGACGAACCGAACGCGAATTTTCAATCTCTCGCGTGTATCCAGGCTCGATCGCTCGGTTATTTATGAGCTCGTCTGTAAAATTCGAAGAGGGAAGCAATACACGGTTGGGTGAAAGTCGTGCAAAAGAAACTCTCACGAAATTCTCGATAGATAAGCGAATGCAACTGTGAGGAAGAGGGAGATAGAGTTTGTTGTCGCCAATCCGAGCGACGACAGGACGGGGATTGTGAAACGTACATGTACCGATACACACGCCATAAAATATCGCGAATCTGTCGTAATACGAAGTGGAATCGGCGATTGGTGTCTAAGAAGAATACAAAAATAGGGACGATGCGACTGTCACGAGCGTATGATTCATTCGCGCCAAAGTTTCGCGGGCAATCACCCTCGCAGTCGAAACTTTCACGCGAACAATTGTAAAACGTCCTGTACATATACCGCATATTTTGTAGTATCGGCAATTTTGCGTACCAACCGGTAAACAGAGATTGAAACGCGAAAAATTTCGAACCTCGCGTCGATCGGATGTTGCGACTCGTCATTCTGATCGTTTTATGCCGGCTAAATAGAAAGATAAAAGCGAACGCAACATTTTATTCGCCGAATCATGCATACAATCTATCGAGAGCAAAATTCAATCGTGAATATTACAAGCGAACTCGGTCGATTGAAGTAAAAAATTTCATCAACAATTTCGCGAACAATTCGAGCACAACGGTATCGTTTCTCGCGTATTATTCGAGCAAACAGGATGGTTCTAGCAAAAAAAATATATTTAGCAATTGATGGTTGAATTGTTTTCCACAAAAAAGAAGATATTTCCTATACTACAATTAGCAAGAAGACGGTCAGTACGGTAACTTGCATATTACAGACCTTTGGATCCGCTTAGCGTATCAAGAATGAATAATTCATCGCTATTCGATACGTAGGATGTATTTCAGTAATTGCATCAGGTGTTAGATGAAAGGAAACTTCAGCAAGGTCGTCCGACACTTTACACCCGTTTATTTTTATCCTCGCTTTTTTTTTTGCAGACTCGGTGTGGTCTTGGCAATTATCGTAATTAGTTGCATTAATAGATGGCATTCCGGGAATTGCCGTTTAAAGAATCCAAGCATTGCGAAACGACCTATACCATCTTTCAATTCATAATTATATTTTTCCTGCTGAAAAAACACCGTCTCGCGTTCCCGTCTAATTTACCTTTCTACACGAACCCGCAACAAGTTTGTCATAACAATTGATAATTAACGGAGCAGCGTACGAACGAACCGCGTCAGCGAACTCCAAATCAACAAGTCGTAAAGTTTTCAAGCAAGGTTTCCAGTTTGACGAACGGTCACGCGATCGAATGCTCGCGCACGTTTAAACCGAGGAAACTCTTCGCTCGTTTTTCACGGCTGAAAATCGGCCGAGTTACATCGGTTTCGACGGCCCGCTGCATCGACCGGTCATTTCGTCGGCAGCGAGGATAATTGCCGGCGAAACGGGCTCGTGTAAAGTTCGGAATACAAGAATATACGACAGAGAGCACCTGTCGAATCGCATTATCGGTCTCGCGAGTAACGCTGTCGCGTTGTCGATGTGACCGAACCATATGTTCAACGATCGGATGACGCTGTCCGTGTACATCAACGTGTTAACTTGCGAAATGTTATCCCAAAAAGCTAGTTATTATCTCTACATACGTACCGGAGCCAACCTGGGAATCGTTCGATCGTGTAACAAACAGAAGAATCACGATCGACAATGAAACGGAAGGATAGACATTGGCCTGGCTAGAGTGACGTATTTCTTGGCCGATAATAAAAACAGTGAATCGTACGGGTAATTAACGAGAAAGAGGAGAAAGCGAGTACTAAAGTGGCGGTCGGTTTTCCACTGGGAAACCCTTCGAGACGTTCAATTAGGCAGCGCGCCAAACTAAAGCCGACCCAACAATGTTGCGCGGGTCAAACATCGAGTTCTAAACGACAAACCGAGATTTCCTTGCCATAAATTTCCCTCCTAGCCCAACGATCAGATACGGCATCGGTAATTAAAGGAAACGACGATTAAAAGGTATTACACGAACGCTCGATAAAATCTGACGATACACTCGCTTACTTTCTCGAGCTCATCGAAACTGTCTCCTCTTAATTACCCTTTGAATCACTATTCTACGTGTCTGTGTATGAGTGTGTACGTGTACATCGATCACGAATTTCCTGACTCCGTTAAACGAAACTCAACTTTGCGCGTTTATAGCTATCGCATCTAATTAGCGGTGATTAAGCAACAGCGTACACCAGAATTCATTAAATATAATCAACAGTTAAATTCCTGACCTAGATAATGTTTGCAAACAGCAAGATAACTGCGATACCAGATTCTAGGAAATACTACGCGATCCATTTCACGCTGCTATCTAATAAACGAGAATTCGCCTTTCTTCCAGTTGTATCATACGTTTTATAACTATCTGACATTAACATTAACCAGTTAATTGCGCTCGACCTTATACACGTTTTCTACTATAAAAAATGACCATTGATTATAAAAACTCGAAATTTCAATAAGATGAAATAAAAATGTCATTTGGTGGTATGTTTCCTTTATATGTATTACCAATAGAACTGCAACAATGTATTTTACATGTATTTTATAAAAAAAAAAAAAATTGATTATTCTCTGTGATATATCGGGCATTCCCCATACAATGTATTATTTTTTACAAACTGACAATGAGGTAATTATTTTCTCCAATGCATCTACTATTCTCCGAATTTATTTGTATACTTTAATTTTATTCATAATTTTATATGAATTTTATTATTTTTTGACAATTTTAAAATTTTTAATAATAACAACCTTTTCAACAATGTACTGTTAATTTTGTATCGAATAAAAATGTAACCCTTCCTCCTTTTACATGACTTTTTTTGTACAATTTATAATAGGAGCATTTATCCTGCGGTCGACGTCTATACACGTCTTTGCTTGATTTTAATTCCGTATACCACGAGGAGTTTTTAAAACTAAACTCCGCAGTTAAGTGGTTAACACATAAATCTAAATTTTAGTATGTTTTATTTGTGCCGTAAGATCGTAAGGAAGTGTTTTCCAAACGCGCACGTGTACCGTGATGATTTTCTCCGGACTGGTATGTATACGGGTTTATCGTCCCTGAAGGTTTAAAAGGAAAGAGGCGGATAGTCTGATGGCGCCATCATTCGTAGTATTTTAAATGAACCGAGGAAACTGTTGTACTCCGACTGAGATATTGAATGGGGAACAAGTACGCGCCCCTCTTGCCTTCCCCGGCCACTGGAAGGTCATTGCACACTCGTAAACAAACAGGACGCGCCGTCTATAGTACGCTTGGCCGCGTCACTGAACGTACACACCGATCTAATACCGTGGCTCAAGGTCGTCCCGTCATAATAGCCCGTCGCATATCGATAATCGATTTAAACGGAGTCCGGCCAAAAAATCCACCGGTTAAACTACATGTATGTACACGATCCACTACCGTTGCCCGCTAATTCGGAGCGTACGAAAATATCCGATACGACAACAACAATGTTAACTCGATACCGTATTTGTAAATAATCTTGGCCGTTTTATGAAATTTACGCGCGAGCGAGCAAATAATTTGGTTGATTACGCGTCAGTGAACTCGATGGACAACGACGCGACGACGCGGCGTTACTACGTTGACCGTTAGAAATTCAAATATGGCGGTCGAGGTTACGAGCGCCTTTACGCGTTCAAAATTCACGGCCGGTACTTGAACTTCTCCGTTAGCGCGGCTTAATTTCTAGCATTGTATATGTTGACATGTTCGAAAGAAATGTAAATACATAATCGTGTGAAGACGGTTGCGAAAGCTTGCTTGAAAGTAGATGAATTCGCTTACCTGTTGCCAATGATCCTCGAGCGACGGCTGGGCCGAAAAGTATCCGGTGTCGTGTATGTCTTGCAACTCCCTAAATATGTTCCCGCTCGGCAGGATATCCATGGTTACGGCGGTTGGATCCGTTCGTAACTGGCTCCGGCACAACGAAATGAAATGGCTCCGAAGCAAATCAACCAACAAGAATAACAAAAGAACAAAACTACGCGGGCTCAGTGGCTGGTAATACGAAGGACTTAGATGGTAACGGAGCGCGTTCACTAACTACACGCCGATACGCGACTCGACGTGACTCTAACGCACGCACGTACACGCAGCAGCAGGTAGTGGCACGCACACGTGCTTATCATCGAAGAAACACCGACGGTTACGGCGTCACCGTAGTAGGATGACCGACAGGGACCGATACGGAGCGACAAGAGAGGTTAACGGGCGACTCTGTTCGACGAGAACTAGAGAGGGACCTGCTGCTCCAAACCGCTTCCTTTTTCCGCGCGCGCACAAACACCACGAACCGCGTTGCTTCGAGCCGTGAGACCGATATATCTCGCTGCACTACCGGCTTTACTGTTGTTGTTGTTGTTGTTGTTGTTGTTATTGCCACTAGCGCTAGTACGGACAACGAAACTCACTGCAACGCCGTTGCTTGTGCGTATCGACGCTCTGTCTGTTCTTGATAGCGTCGCGTACACGAGACACGCGCGACAGCATCCATCATACGTGGAACGTGACAGCCGAGAATCCTTGTAATCACGGAACGAAAGACGAAACGTCAAAGCGCCGGCACGAGTAACGACTCGGTATCTGTTCGATTCATTCGGCTTCTCGCTTTCCTTTCTCTCTCTCTCTTTTTCTCTCTTCCACTTCACTCTCTAGGATGTTCCGATTTTTCGACTCTCTCTGAGACTCCTTTTCTCGCAGAAAACAGCCTCGTACCACTCGCGTTCGTTCGCTCCGAAAACTCGTGTACAAAACACACTCTAGCGAGGAACACACGCGGCTCTGCCGTCACCTACCGGCTTTTTTTCCCGCGACACTTTTAGACGTCGCGAGGTTACGTCACGGTTTTAAAATCGCGCCGGTCACCACGATCGAGTTAAATACACGTCGCTGGGGATGGATGACGAAAAAACACCGACGAGATATTAAACACTCCACAAGGAGCAACGATATCCCCTACCGTTAATGCGTACAGACTCTTCCGCGCGAGCGCCGAAGAGTGACTGACGTTCCCTTGCCATAACTGTACGCGAGCAGGACCGAACTCGGCCGAACCCGGCCGAGTGGTACCGAACGCGCGCTCGTTGCCGGCGACGCTCTAACGCGGCCGGCGACCGCTTCGCGTCGTGGCAGCACTGCTCGGTGGCGTCGCGACGCCGCTTCCCCGAATCTTTTCCATCGCGTCCACCAACGATCTTTGACTCGCATGCCATTTTCCTCCCAGGATATCCTTGGACGAAATTAGAGGGATTACGATGCTTACGGAACGGTCTTAGAAGAACCGTTTTATACAGAATCATACAAATTATATCTTCCTTTTGGTACTCTCTTCCTTGCTATCCTATTAAACTACCTACCACTTTTTTTTCAATTAATTAAACAGTAAGCTTAAGTAAAGCATTCCGCTATCGTTTATTAGCGCTGTAACGATCAAACCCGCCAAGAAATGTTGTTTGTGTAATATAAATGTTATTTTTAATGTATTTTTCTCCAATCTTATCTATTACTTTTAACGCAAAACTATTTGTTCTTACCGCTTACTTTTCTTTACCACGCTCTAATAACCCATTCTCTTCGTTAGAATATAAAGATTCCAAGAACTGCATGAGTAGCGATTGTATTCTCTGTTTGCGATTCTAATCTTGTAACTTTAATACACGTTTAAATTGGTTAACTCCGTTTCCTCGATACATCCTCGCATAGTTCCCATTCGAGTGACCGATAAAATTCGAATCGTTTCAGAAAACCTTACCGTGCCATTGTTTCTCGCGCACGTATGTTTAGTCGTCTTTCGCGGCCGACGTCGAACGCGAACGATGAATTATTTGCAAATGAATAATCGGTCGTGAGTCAACGCGTGTTTCAGAGTGCAAACGGAGAAGGCAAAGGAGATGAACGCGTTCTGTCGTTGTACGTGATTCACGGATACAGCGCGTTCGTTAAAAGCTGTTTTGTTGACGCTGGTACAGCGCTCGGGAATGCCAGATTAGATACGTAAGCGGCATTTATGGCGAATGGAATTAGAAGACCGGCTCCACTTATCAAGACCGTACCTCGTTTCCGTTCGAGCTATCGTTGCCGAGCTATCGCTCTGCTGCACGGAGAAGCTGACCGCCAGATTCGAAATGCTTCCTTCTATTTAGCCTTTTCTCCGTGCTGTCCGTTTTGCGACGAAATATTTTCGACGGTCCAGATTAAAAGATAGCAGCATTCGTTCGGTCAAGAATACATCGAGAAATGTTTGCCCTCGATACGTTTCCAACGGAATCGTCTAACGTTAATGTAACGAGAAAAATAGCGGATGGATGAGTGGGAGCATAGTGCTTTCGGAGCGCATCAATAACAGTCGAGCACGATAAATAATCGTCTTGACTTTCAAATATTGCTAATATCTTCCTGATGAATTTCCGCCGTTGCGTTCCATCGAATCCTGACCTCTCGTAACCTTTCGACTTATACACTGCTACATTCGATTCTCACTGGGTTAAGACGCTCGGCACCATAAATATGGCGGTTGTTGTTGGATCCAAGCCCAACCCTCGAAAGCTTTCTTGTTGCGAGATACATAGGATTGTCGATTTTCGCTGTTAGCTATGTTTGTTAGTCTGGAAAATACTTGTACGACCGCATACATCCACAGAAAAGTTCGCTTGTTTCGTTCTCGTTAATTCCGTTCTTCTTTCCGTTTGTTCTCCTCCTATTTTTTCGTGTCTGTATGGAAAATTTACGCGTGGAATTCGTCGCGATGTCAACGGATGAACAAACGCGTGCTGATGAATTTAACGTTTCGGTTCGACGCCAGTATTTCGTTAGCCGTTTGGCACCGTGAACAAGAGAATACGAAGAAAACGTAACGGTATCAGGTCCGGAAGATCTGAAGCTCTCACATCGCCTATTTCCGATAATATCTTAACACAGCATCGTCGTAACGACTGTTAACCCCTTTAACATCGTTTTGTCAGAGCCCGTATATAGCCGAGTTCGCTCGTTACGAGTATTTTCGGTCAGCGGGTCTACTGTTGCTCGAAAGGTCATCTTACAGTACAATGACCTGATCGTTAACCCTCTTTCGACCGTCGACCGTCTCCCGTCACCAGGGCGCAATAGCCGAGGATATCCTGAACTTCTGTATCCTCGTCTGCCGCCTTATCTCCCTTGTGTCTATCATAAAATGATCCTCGCCAACTTTGCGTTTTACAATATTACTGTTATTCTCTTATTTAGATTCGCTTTTTTACCTACAACTACCTCGTAGACGTATATTATCGCGCAATGATATATCATTGAAAATAATTAGAAAATCACGTTGACCGTTTACAGAGCGAAGATTAATATTCGTCGAAGTTGCAATTATCCGGAGTTACGTGCAGATTTTTAGTGCTTCCACGCGTGCAAGTTTCAGCAGAGTGTGGTCCAAGGTGAACAGGGCGCGATACACGAATGATCAACGAGCATTCGGCCCGGTGTCTTGCGTGTTCTCTTTGCCTGCTCACGATTTTCGCGATCGTGCTCGGAGCACCGGCAAGAAACACCGTAAGGGTGACGTAACTTACGTTGCATAATGCCACGGCAAAGGCTGCAACGAGCGCGTATAGTCGCAACTATTCGTGTCAACTGTTATTCTTCGAATGACCCTCGTTGGACAGACTGTGTGCACTCGCATCCTTGATGCTGGAATTTATGGGACGAGGACGTACGGGTGCTAGTAACGCTAACGATCTCTTTCGGCCCCAAGTCCGGTTCATTGGACAATAAAGAACGCTACGTCTTGGATGCAACTTGCATCTGCCGATCCGATGGATGGCTTTGGTTCGCGTTGCGCGAAGGAGACGGTGATAAATCACGATCTGTGCCACGAATTCGAAATAAATTTCCTCGACCGCTTTCGAAACAGGGTAGAACGGGAAAGTCCGATTACTAATGAGGACCAACGTGTGCACACGAAGGTTGTGTACCGTTCGATATCGTCGCTGCATATTTAGTTTTAACCGAGCGTGTTTAACTTGATGAAACTATCGAGAGGAATTATCGTTTCGGGCTTAAGGGAGGGTACTCGTGCAAAAATCAGCTACTAGTTAGTTACATTTCGCATGAAATTTTCAAAATGTTAAGATGGAATTAAACGATGTAAAATGTTGTTTGACGCCGGTATTAGAGAAACGACCCCTATGCTTGGAATATTAGATGCTGTGAGTAGGACAAAGACAGCGCAGCGATTTAAGAAACCTTTTCTTCCCCATCGGTGGCAGTCTGTCACGGATCAATCGACCGAGTTCTCTTCAAACAGACTCGTAAAAATGCTTTGTACAAGAGGGTTTGAACGAAATTAAGGGAGCTCTCAATTCGCATTCCTTCGGATGATGTATGAGACACATTACACCCGACAACTTGCGATATATCAAATTTTTTCCCTCGTTCGTGAGTAACGCGTTTCTACGTACCTACGAGCGTAGTTACATGCGTGTAATATACCATGGTAGAGAAAGGTTTTCCGATGAAGCGATAAAATTTATTGTGAGGTCGTGTTTCGACATGTGAACTTCGTCAAGGAGCGAAAGAACATAATCGTTTTAATTTAGCTCGTTCAATTTCTCCGTTGATCGATGGACCTTAACGTGCTTGCCTATTTACCATGCACTTAATGGCTTCTAAGGAAGAATCGAATTTTCCCTCCTAGCAGTTGCCGTATGTGCAAAATCGAATGGTTAACCGCGATTTCATGTCGCTTCTCGAGGGCGCACTTCCTGTCCCCGTGACTTCGTCCCGGTGGTCCATTAAAGCCTGAGGAAGCGAGCTGGTCGTCGCGAACCGCAAAATCGTGCTATCTGGGATGGTGCTTTCAGCTTCAACTATTCCTCGCACCTCGGGAAAACCTACTGGAATTAGTAGCCGTCGGAGTGCAAACGAAACGAAATGCAAGATCAAAAGATACGATTAATTCAACATTTCCTACAATGTAGGTATCACTACCTACGTATAAGCATTTTCAATAGGACCTTTGGAATGTTGCACTTTGTTGTTAACTTGCATCGACGAAACGTGATAGTGAAACTATCGTACGTGCTGTTTTATAGGAGGGAAAAGAAATTCCAGGAAAGCATTAACGTGGAGAAGTGCACGTAACTTGAATTTTACTTTATCTATCGTGGAATGAATTATTCGAAATATCTAATGGCTTCGTTTACTTTAATCATCGAACATAAAATCCCCGAGTTAAATGTCTCGAGTTTACGTAAACGCTCGAGGAAACGTCGCTTTTGTGGTATTTAAAAATTTCGTACGTGCAAACGAAGCGTGACGTCTATTTAAAGCGTTTCTGAAACAGCGGTGATTAGCTGTTAGATGCAGCATCGAATTCCGTGGCACGAAGTGCCGCTTTAATAATTAAAAACATAATCTAGTTTAATTGCCATAATAAGCCTGCGCCGTGAAATTCCCTTTATGCATAACGAAGAGACCTGTCCTTTGCATAACCCCCGACAAATTTCCTATCTCTACGGTCCCCACTTTTTAGGGGTCGAGATTTCACCGCCACAAAAAACCACCCTTCCGTAATCCCTGGCACCTGATAACCTGGCACAGGTTAAAGTCGAATTAAAATCACTGACGTGAAATCACTCGTGCCGGAATTTATATCCCCTACCATTCCCGGACACTTCCAGACCTATGAGACCTGTCTCCATTAAAATCGGATAACATTTGTCACCGAGGGTCTACGCGTGCGGTGTCCTGCTTCTTTTCTATAATGATCTCGAGATCTATGACATTCCCGAGAGATTAGTGCCGGCAAGGTTAAACGAAAACCAGAAAATTCTTCCCAAAATATGAATAAAGTAAAACAGACTCGAAAAATGTGCCGTGAAAGATGAGTTCCATTAACCCTCGTAATACCAAGGGGATTACTATATGTCCACTGTGTTACTTTCTCGGGAATTCTTGCTAAAATAAGTACCTGAAAATTTCGTTAATTTTCATGGAATAAAATTAAAAAAGATTTGCGTATTGCGAGGGTTAAAATAAAACGTCGAACAATCAGAGAATCCGTAACATATTAA